TTTTGCCCCCTTGGATGTTTTTCTTTGTATGTTTCTTCTTTTTTAACCTATAGACAATGCAGTTATGCAACTCATAGGAAAGATTCTTGGAGACTAGAAAACCTTCAATAGAATGTATTTTTAAGAATGTACAACTTTAGTTATTAGGGTTTTCCCATATTCCTCAACTTCCAAATTATTTGAGTAATAGGTTTACATAGAGTAAATCAAATTTCCTATGTCAAATTCCCTCGAGACTGCTATACTTATCCAAATATCAGCAATGCTTATGCCAAAATGTTTTCAACGTTTACTTCTATAATAAAATTTCTAGGAGAAAATTTCAAATAAGAATCCATAATATCTGGTGGTGACTTCATTCTAAGGGAAGTGTTATAGGTATCATATTGAGGACTTCATGGAACAGGTCATGACAAAATTTTATGCTTTGGTCTTAACAAACTTTTCTGTGCTAAGACTATTCTAAATGCTTAAAAATTATAAAAGTTCTTGTGACTGAATAGGACAAATATGGAAAACACATTAATTACTGACCATTAATCTGTTTTCTAGTCTCGGATTCTATGTGTATTGATTACAGTGAAGATTAGCATGGCTCCTGTTAGTCCTATACAAGGATGACACACACAAATCGAAAAACGGTCCTAATTTTTTTTTCTGTTTAGTGTCTGCCAAAATATAAAAATAAAAAAATAAATCCTCAAGTACTCTATATTCTATAATATAATGAGAGGAGCTACAGAAACAAAAAGGGGTGTGATTGAGATGGGGATTTAGAAAAGTTTGGAAGTTTGACTTGGGAAAATGCTTCCCTTAATAAACAATTGTTAGGAAGAATCTTTGAGTCAGCTATTGTCCCTGTTGCCTCTGCATTTAATTAGTATTTTTTCCTTTAGAAAATCATTACTTTTGATGAGACATGTAATTGTAAGAGCATACACAATGGTTGCCCAACCCCATCTTGGTTATTGATTATTTTATTATTTTATCCATCTTCCACCTCACTTATAACCACTCTTATAACCATTTAATAACCAATGTATGCCAATAGTTAACCATAATATTTTGGTTATACATTTTCTCTCTCCTACTTTTACCCAACCCCACCACACAATTTATTACTTAAATTCTATTATTATTAAATAATGCATTTGGTAATAATCATTCAAAATTAATAATTATTTATTAGCATACATTAATTAGATAAAATCTCAAAAATTTAAAAATAATGCAATTTTGATATTAATTAGTATGTAATTAGTCGTTAATTAAGACACAAACAATAATTGTAACCCTACTACATTCCACAATAATAAAAATCATACATATATATTCTATCAAATGACAAAAGTCTTTGAAAGATAATAACGAACCGCGAACAAGTACAAACACAATGATATAATATTGCGATTACACATCTATTAATGCATATTATTGTCCCTACTTTGAACACCGAATTTGAGCCACATATGTTCAACTAAGTCTTTCTTCAATGCTTTATGCATAGCTTCATCACGAACACGTGCTCTATTAGACATGTAAGTCTCAACCATGTTCAAAAATTATGGCCGTTACAAAAATTACAACGGTTATAAATTCAGAGCAAATCTCAACCATTGATATTTGTATTACGTGTCAAAATCTTAGCCATCCATGTCAACCAAAAAGCAAAAAAAAAATTGCATGACCAAGCTATGATAACCGGTTATTGAAATAACCAGGTTATTAATATTTTCCACCAAAATTTTCTCTCTCCTCATTATTTTATTATTTTCTCACAATCTCTCTCCTAATAACCACCCCAAGTGGTTATTTGCTGTGTCTACTCTAAGGAGAGATGGATTTGAAGAAACATGGTATTACATTATAATATATGGTGAGGATAATTTAACAAATGTAAAAATCTTTGTCTTATTTAGTATACTTGGTCCATGAACTCAGCACTAACACTTGCCTCCCACGTGAAATTTTTTAAGGACACTCACTATCAAATTCTAGCTAAATCCTTCCACAGTTAAGAATTCTGCTTGTAATATCATATGATTATAGTATATTTATAGAATTTTTGTTACAGTGATTTCTGCTTCTTGTGTTTTGGACTTCATTTTAGAAATGTACTTTAATTCTTAGCACATGAATGATGCATTGTGAGACTTTTTCCATCCGAATTTGAAGCTGACTTACATTAACAAGTTATGAATATTGTGGACAGTGGCGGACCTAGGCTTGTGCCTGGTGGGTCAAGTGACTCACCAGGGCCCAAAAATTTTTTTAGTTATTTTTTTATTTTATTTTTTTTTAAAAAAAAAAAAAAAAAAACTAACATTAGCTTCCCGTCTTCCCGAGTTACTGTCTTCCTCAAAGTTCAAACCCTAGCCTTCTTCTCTAGTTCTCTTCGCCTCTTCGCTTCATCTCCAGTTCTCCACCCAGCCACCGTTCTCTGTCGACTGCTGATCTGGTTGCTCCGTCTCCGTCTAGTCGGCAGTCGTCTGCTCCGTCTCCGTGGACGGTGGACTCCGTCCTCTTCGCCTCAGCGCCTCTAGTCTTCGCATTTCGAAATCGCTAGTGCCTAGTAAGTTGATTTCTAATTTTTATTTTTAATTTCTAATCTTCAATTTAATTCAGTCTAATTAGTTAATTTTATTAAACTTTTGGTTTAAACTTTGGTTGATTTGTAGTTAACGCAATTTAACTCACGCCTCGTCGCCTACTCGCCTCAAGTGCTGCGCCGCCTGTGCGGGTTGTGCTGATGACTTGCTGAGTGTTGGCCGTGGCCCTGCTGCAGTGCTGCTCCGCCTGCTCCGCTGCTCGCCTTAATCAGCGCCTGCCGCCTCCGCCTAGCAAGGTAGGTAATCATCAATTGATTCTTTTTTTTTTTTTGTGAATTTTTGATCAAATTTGCATTACTTGTCTCTTAAAATTAGTATATACGGTGAATGTTCATTAAATTTGCATTATTTTTGTAAATTGTGTTTTGACTGTTAAATTGAACTTATTAGTTTATTTGTTTATGTCATTATGTGAAATTGTGAATATGTGATGCCGGACATTGTATAAGACAACAATTAGACTATTAGAGTATTAGTATAAGGAGGATTATAAATTTATAATTAGATTACAGTGTGGACTGGTTAGTGCTTAGTGGTGCTAGTCGCATATTCGACTGGAAGTTCCGTATAGACTAGTGGAGATATTAGATTGGAAGTTCCGTAATCTTGTCAATTTTCTATTTAGATGATCTTTGTAAATAATTTTCTTGGGGAATATTGCTTGATTTAGTTGAATATTTATTCAAATTTCAGAATGAAGAGAAAACACATTCTAAATGAAATGCAAAACCTTACTAGCTTCTTTGCTAAAAAGAATCCTACTCCAACTTCTCTTCCACATCCAACACAAAATGAACAAACTATATCTCCACCTCAAGAAAGTGAACAACTTTCATCTCCATCTCATTATTCAACTCAAATGTTGAATGATTGTTTAATTACTTATTTGGAGAATGATTTTTTTTAATGTTAGTATGGAAGATATCATAAATCGATATCAAAACATGAAAACTCATCGAGAACTATTGTAATAAGTTTGCATTACTATTTAATTGTCTTTTGTAGTATTATATGAACATTTGGTTGTATTTTGTACTATTTGAATATTTAGATGTATTTTTTAGTACTATTATTTGGTTGTTTGGTAAATTTTTTTTTTTACATATTTGATTATCGATTGTGACTCACCAGTCGGAAATTCCTGGGTCCGCCACTGATTGTGGAAAAGGTAGTCATGGGTTATGTCTGTAATTTGGTGCAGAATGTCCAAGTAATGCATTTTCGCTTACAAACATGCATATATATCTTTCTTCATTGAACCATTACCACTCAGCACCACCGCTTTAGGACTTCAGAACTTAAGAAATTTTTGTGCTATTTAAAAGATGACTTATGTTTCTCAGTATAATTGCATGAATAATTGATGCTAATTGGTATATATAATATGTTACATTTTCCCTAATACCCTATAGAAAAAGTTCATTGAAGTATATAAATCTCTTTCAACTGCTAGTTAGTAATAGAGTTTAGTGTTAATTAATTAGTTTGATGTTTTCTTGTTAAGTAGCCTGCACAAGCTGATGTGTGATGCGCATGTTGTGCATGTTTATGGCGGACTGCTTGTAGGCACTTGGGTAAAAAAACTCATAAGAATATCCTCCTAAAACTTTGTTCACATATCACATTAATGACAGATTCCAACATTGATCAATAAGAAACATTGAATATAAAATTTACTCAATTTAGACTGTTTGAGGTAGACTGTTGTTGTCAGTTAACACTCTTCTATAATGCAGCCATCGTTTTCTTTATTCTTATTGTCACATGCAAGTTTTGTTAGCCTTTAAGAATCTGATCAACTGCTCATGAATTTTGTAAGAAGATTGTTCTTTTAAAGTGATATTTTCCCCTTATTTTTGTGTTCTGAACTGATATTGAACTGTATAGTTCAAAATGCTGAACAAAAGAGTTCAGAATATTGTTGATATATTATTTTTGAAGAAATCAAAGTGCAAAAAGTGTTCAAGTAAAAAGTTGATGCTAATAATTATAGGCAGCTTAGTTTAGTGCATTTGAGTTTAAAGGTGGGAATTAATGTTTTACGGAGCATTAATTCTCCTACTTTTATTAGCTATAAGTAGACTATTAGCATAATTTTGCTACACATAGTTTAATTAATTTATATTCTTCTCCATGTATCTCGTTTTAGAGTTGACTCTTTTCAACTTGGCCTTGTTTTCATACTCTTACTATACTTCACCTTTTCATACCTTTTTTTCCTTGGCAATGGCTAGTACAACCTTTTGTCTTTTAGACAATTTCTATTGTTTGTTTTATTTGCAAGAGCAAGAAAAAGGCATGAAAATCGAAAACCCTAAAAGAAAAAAATATATAAATATATTTTTTTTAAATGGAGTTTTACTAGGGTAAGCTATAGGGGCCCTCCTTGGTTCAATGCTTCTGGAGTAATTTCTTTTCATGGAGAAAATAATTCTAATAATAAAGAATAAGGATATGAAAATGGAATTATGTAGAAAAAGGGCAAAAACATGGATGCCATATATTATAATAATGTCATAGTTATGAAACCATGTCATGTCCAAAGAAAGACTCCCTTTTAAGAGAGTCTTGAATTACATGATGATCACTTGAGGATGGAAAATTGATGTACTGGGGTTGGGAAAGATTATTGTGGAAGAGGAATGACTTGTCGTCTGCCTCATAGTTGTTCTGATGTACTGGGGTTGCTATGCTGTTTGATTCTGGCTGCATTTGGATGCATAATATCTCTGCCTGAGCTACTGCTAGTTGCATTTGCAGCTGCGAAACCTGGTTTTGCAGGAACGATATGGCACCCACACATCCGTAGACTGGATCCCTCATCCTTGCATTTGCTTCGTACACTAGACTGCTCACTGCATCTGCTCTTTGGTGCATTGGAAGCTCCTGTATCCATAAGAATCCAAGTATATGGAGTTATAACCAACACCTCAGTAAAAATCCTTCAGTTTGGTAGGATTTATGAAGGCTTGATGTATGCAGTCTTACCCCTAACTAGTTTGGGAGGTTAGAGAGACTGTTTCTGAGTACAGATGTATGTACATGGAGTTTGCATTTTTATTTTTTGTTTTTTTTTTTACATGAAGTTAGGAATTTCCAAATAAAAATCCTGATGTCAGCAGGATTTAGGAAAGTCTGGTGTATGCAATCTTATCCCACAGATATATAAATTTCACTTTTTATAAGAAAAGAAGCGCAAAAGAAGTAAAAAGATTTGGCTAAATTTTGTAGAAGTGCATAAAAGTTTTGTGATGATATAGTTTATGTCTGCCCGTACTCACCTGTAACATTTTGCTGACATTGCTAGCTCCAAAAACTTTATGAACGATGGCAAACTTGTGGGGGTCGTCAGAAGGGAAGTAAGGAGCAAAGATGCAGTCTTTGGCGCATCGACGACGGAGCAACTTGCAAGAAGCACAAGGTGAAGTTCCATTGCCACCCATTTTGTTGACTTTACTGGAGAAATATATGAAACAAAGTGTAAATAACTAAGAACTGAAAAAATTAAAAGGCCTATGGTTTGGAAAAAATGAGAAAAGGGGTGTGGCTATTTATAATACCAAATCTTGTGTGAGCTTTCGTGCACTTAGTTAAAAATTATTTTTTTACAAAAAGTTACATGATTAAAAAAATCATTAGATTTAAAAAATCATTAACCATATTTTATGATTTGATGTCTGAATAGAAGGGAGTGACTATGTCATGGAGGATTTAGAAATGATTTGGCCTTTTGTTGGCATATCAAACAATGGGTAATAAACTGGTATCGGTGTTGGAACCCATTATTAGAATAAAATTTCTCTCATGAGATTATCTTTTGATTTGAACTGTAGAGTTTCTTTTTATCATTCTCTCTTAAGGGATTATGAGGACTTCAGTGGTCTACAGATGCAAGCGGGATTTGATTTTTGGTCTTACAATTTTTCTTAATAAATATCGATGAATGAAAATGAAATTACTGTTTAATCGACACGCTATGTGAATAATTAGTGGTTTGAATTGTTTAAAAATTGTGTGCCTTTTAACAAAAAATGAAGAGACTATCATTTTCCAAAATTATATCAACTTAGCTAACAAATGGAATAATAGAGTGTATGAATAAACTACTTAACAACCATATAGCTGATACATTGCAAAAAACTACTTAACAACCATATAGCTGAAATCATAGCAAAAAACTGTTCATTCTGGAAGCTGATATAGTCATAGCATTACATCTATATAATTTGATTAAACTACTTAACAACCATATAACTGATGCATTGTTTCCTGCTGATAATCTATCACATTCACCAGCCAGAGGATATTGAAGCCCTCAAAGTTATGATTTTGTGGCTATTATTGTTTGTATCACTCCCATTATTTTGGCACTTGTGTAAGTTGTGTTTATATTTTGCAGGTAGTTACACATATTCCTTTCGTTCAGAATTAGTTGTCACTTATCTCAACACCTTTTATGTCTAGCTAAGTAGAAAAGACCAATTAATAAGGGTTCTAATAGAGGTGGCTGTGTGACGATTCCGAAGGAAGAATTTGGTTCATGTGGGTTCTAAGTTACTCGGAAATTTTATATCACCTCAAGAACCCATGTCGGATATTCGGCACTTAGACATTAGTAGGATACTTAGACACATGCCCATATCAAATAAGAGTACTCGAGTCCGAGCAACATAGAGTGAGAGAGGTTATGTTGATGTGATCGATTAGGATCTCAATTTGTTTGGTTAGTTAGCTTTCCGTGATTAGTTATGTTCTAGAAAGGCACCAAAACATGTGTGTGGCAGGGTAAGGAAATGTGACATGTATATTCATTTCGGATGGAAGTAGTACCTAGTAGTCTAGTACCTACTAGCATGTATCAAGTTGCTCTGTAAAATAATTATTTCTACTCTTGCAAACAATAAAATTACAAATGAAAAAGTACATCGTGGTTATAGTTTAATTGTACATAGAATAAGAATTTGTTATTTTTTTTTATTTTTTTTTGAGGAATACGCACCGAATAATTTATTAATCAAGGGACAAAGTGTCCGAGAGTATATAATTTGTTCATCGCCAAACGGTACCATATCGTAATAGAATTTGTTACCTGACGATATTCTAAATCGACCAAAAATTTTAGTACGGAGTAATATCATAATGTAATTTGTATTGTTTTTTGGTTTTGGAAAAAAATAATATAATTTGGGTTAATATGACTAGTATAAATACTAGCGGGTGGGGAATGGGGATTTTGGGCTAACTCATCATTGTAAGCGTGGACTTCATATTTGATCCTGTAATATTAGAACATCATCAAAATCACTCTAAACATACTCTTATAAATAATAATTAAAAAATACTTTTTTCGTTTTATTTTGATTTTTTATTTGAAATTATCTAGAAGATAGAAAAGTCAAAAGAAATGGAGAGAGTAAATCCGAGTAATGCACTTTAGCGAGGAAAAAAATTACTTCTATTTTTTACATAGGTGCCACCGTGCAAATGTAAAAGACTTTTTTTTAGGAAATGCAAAGGGCAGCTTGAGACTGTTAGGTGTTAAAAAAGAAATAGTGTAGAAACATTAGATTAATCTAGTTGGTTTGTCCAAGTTAATATAAAAACCAATTTATAGACTAGTTGCCCTATTCGTGGTTACTGTTTTATTTTTAGCCTTTTTTTTCTTTCTTTCTTTCTTTGCCCTTTGCCGTTGGTATTCCCATTTCTAGATTTGTCCGAAACTTGTTCCTACTTTAGGGCGGCAATATAACTACCCTTCATCCATGGACCACATTTCTTAGGTATGTATTCTCGATAATTTACTTAATTAATTAATCTGTTTTCATATTATTAACGTTGATATGAAGTTATTGACCTCTCTCTTAAAGTATCAGGTATTGTTATATTCATAGGATGATGATAGTCGATATAGTGTGCATTAATTCATATGGATTACCGTGTTAAAAATTTTCTGGTCCAACTTTTAAAAGAGTAGACCACTTAAAAATTAAGAGAATATAGATTTGACTCCAAGATATTACAGTTTATTATAACCCTATTGCGAAGATTAGATTTGAGTACATTTCATCTTCTCCCATCGGATGTACAAAAATCAATTCATAAGTGGGAAATTTTTACCAAATTTTATTTTTAGATCAAGTATTACTCAATTAGAATAATAAAGAGTATTCATGCATTTCAAATAATGTTAACGTTTATCTCTATTGATAAGGAGTTTAAGAGCTTTGATAATGCGTGTGTTTTTAATTTGAGAGTTTTTACTCGCAAATTTCTTTTATACCAAAGCAAGAAAGATTGAAGACCAGAAATCATAGTTTGACTGCCGCAAAAGCTTGTGATTGGTTAGCTAAATTGGGCCCACCCATTTTCCTTTGTTGAGGATGTTTGTTTAAAGGGTTGAACAATATTAATTACACTTTCCACTAGAGTTTAGAGCTACGAGTACTAATTAAAATTCAAAACAAGTGTAATTAATGGTAAAATTGATTAAAATGGAGGTGGCCCAACGTGAATGTTTTTGTTAAGACAGACATTCACGTGAATTCCACATTTTTTGCAAAAACTCTACCAAAACTCTCCCTCCCCAATACCCCCATTAAGAGGGGTACAATATTCTCACTTGGGAGTGGGACCAACAACTATATTAATTAGTTAATTACTTAATTACACTATTGAGTCATGTATAATGTGACTACTCTTATGTATGATTGAGTCGTGTATAAATAGTTGACCCGAGCTTGACTTGAATCACTTCATTGTCAATCGATTATAAGATGCATCACGCATGAAACAATATGACACTTTATATGGCTCTATAACATGAATAGTTTGATTTCAATTAGTAATGTCTTTTTTCAAGTTTGTAGTAATGAGCCTTGCTTAAAATGTTGTATTATTGTTATCAGGAAATCCTTACTATGATAAAGATTGATCATAACACGAATATGAGGAAAAATTAGGAGAAAGAGTAACATAAAGAAAGTTCATGTTTTTACTTAACTTTTACAAATTGAAGTACGAAATAACAAGTAATAATTAAAATATTATAAACAAATATTCCCCCATTTTCGAATACTCGTGATAATTTGACTTTTGTAATATTTATCAGTTAACTTTCATCCATTATCTACTTAACAAATATCTTATAATCACATATTAAGTTTTTGAATATTATATTGTTAAATTAGTCTCAATATATATTTTTAGGAATGGAGTAAAGAAAAAAAATTAGCATGGTTAGTTTACATTTTTCAATGACATGATTTTATATACAACTTGCGTACTTTATGCATGCATGCAAAGTTACTAGGAATACCCTACACATGGATCATTTTATAACATATTTGTATTAGTACTAATTATTTCAAAATTCAAGGTACGGTTTCCTGCAATATCTATTCCCCAAGCCCACTCTTTTACATGATCAACTTCAAACGTATTCTAATTAATCGAGAGTTATAATTAATTAAATTTTCTGCTAAGTGATAACCAAGAGATACAAGTAGATTTCACAGCAAAAAAGAGAAGTAACTCATAAAAATAAAAATAAAAATAAAAACTCTTAACTTTCATCTATTATTTGTTTTTTTTTTTTTTTGAAGGGTAACTTTCATCTATTTATCGTACCTTTTTTGTTTTTCAGAATAACATGTATTTGGAAATGGAGTTCTATTATAATGGACAATTCCACAAGTATGAAACATTTTCTAACATATTACATGTAAATTCATTATTATAGCCTATCGAACCCAAGTTATTTATGGTACCCAATTAATAAGAATCAAATGTGGTCTACTGGTCTCGATCTATTTCTCGATATCTAAGTACAGAAAAGGAATTAATTAACAAACGTTTAGAAGTATATGTACGAACATTACCACAAAAATGGGAATAAGCAACATACAATACGCAAACAGTCAAGTTGGTTAGGCGATCTCTAGAAGTTTGTTTAATTTGTTTCTGTGATAGATGTGAATGCATACTGCTGAGTAATAAAGTACTAATACGTACGTAGATTGGCAAAGAGTCTTCGTATATTAAGCGAGACGTCTGACAATTATTAAGAGTATTATAAAAATCTAAAAGATTCTCATCGTCATAATATGGAATCTAGGCATAGATCATATGCGAAGTATACAAATAAATCAACACGTGTATTTATGTATGTACTGTGTATCATATCAACAGATATACAATTAGTCCTGCAAATTGCGATAAAATAATATTGTCAATCATATATTCATATCATTAGTCATTAATTAACGTTGGGAAAAAAAATAAAATAGTGCTTCTGTTTCTTCCAAATTAGGGTTTGTATCTTGTAATATTACTTCGGGTTGAATGTGCAATGTTGTGTACGTACACTGTATCAATGAACGTTAATAAATTCTATGATCTTGATGATATACTTTGTTTATCATTAATGTATCTCGTGATAGATGATAAATGTTTTGTGAACTTGCAATACATTTGTTAGTAGCCAGAGTTTACCAGCATACAAATTATATAAGCTAAGATCGATTGGTAATAGGTGAAGTAGTCCATCAATCTTATACTATGGCCCTGTTTGGCAAACTAACGGTAGTGGGTAGTTTTTTGCGGTCGGGTAGGGGGTAACTGTTAGGGTAGCGAGTAGCTGTCAATTAGTAGTGGGTAGAAGTTAGCTGTCAAAGTACGGTTGATAATATAAGTGTTTGGCAAAAGTAGTGGTTGCAATACTAAAATAAATCATATAAATTGTTAAAAAAAATAAGC